TCGGTATGATGAAGAGCCTACGACTCACATACTTAGAAGATAATTTAAGGATGTTTTTGTTCAAGGAGGATTTTCTGCTTTTAGAACTAAAAGACATTTTGGTAATCTCACAGTGCAATTAAATTTGCTGAGGTTGTTGCATATATTTAATTTAATATTAAAATTAATTAGTAAGATTATATTTAAATATATGTACGCATATATTTAAATGAATTATTATTATTAATTAAACGTTAATATATTTAATAAATATATTAATTGATTATAATTATAATAATAATTAATTAAAATAAAATAAAATATCATAAGAAGGGTGTTTGGAAACAAGGGTGGATCAGAGTTGGAATCCATGTGTATTCCTTATAGGAATAGGGTTTTAACAACTTGCACTATATACGTGCAAGTTGTGTTAAAGAAATTATGCATTCCTTTATAAAAGAAAGAAAAGGCAGCCCCGTTTCACCCTTTTTTCTCACATTCTCTCCTTGGCTTTGAATCAAAGATTTTTCTTTGATTCAATTTGATTCTTGAAGCTAATTAGAGGATCTAGCAAATCCTTCTTTGGTTCTTCAGATTGTCTTCGTGTAGATCACCATTCATTCGGTTCTACGTTGAATTGGTAGCGAAGTAAATTCAGAGACATTTGAAAGAGCCTCCCAACGTGCGTAAGATCTCTGATCCTTGTCTGGATTGATATTATTTTGTGCAGAATTTTGGTTTAACATGTAAACTATATAATCTATACCTGGATCTTGGCATAAAAGGAATTGATTCATCCTTTTGATTTTTGTTTTTCCGCTACATTGGGTATATTGATTCCTAACAATGCTATCGTGTAACCTCTTCACCTCGAATTTTTCCATTTTTGAATCACAATTCGGGTACTTTATAAAGTGACCGATCTTCTTCAAGTAAGAGGTGATAACTTGCAGCAGTTGGTAACATATGCTTTATATGTTTTGCATCTTTCGGTGTTATGAAAATATTCTAGATAATTGTCATTTTACCCATTATAATGTAGTAAATTATGCTTTTAATCACATGAAAACAATATATAATAACATATATTTTGGAAATAAACATAAAAACATAGTGTCAAACAAGCAATAATGTTCTATGAAAGTGCCCGAAACCACCCGATACTCCCAATTGGGTCATTACTTATATGCCTTAAACCACTTGATCACCCCTATCTGTTAAATGTAAAAGTGCCCAAATATGCCCTAAACCACCCGATACCCTCATATCAGGTCATTTATAACATGCCCTATACCACATGATTACCCCTATCTGTTAATATATAAAGTGCCAGAATATACCCTAAACCATTTGATGCCCCTCATCGGGGTATATATCGAAAATGCCCTATGGGGGGTGTAGACGATAAAATCTACCTAGAATGTTGTAAGGATGATAGTGTGAGGATGAGACCACTGACAATCTCGTAGACTTGTAAAGACAAAGAAGGGTGAATGCGAAGCACTTGGAGACATCAGTTTGGTATCGGTCGTAGGCACTCTGATGCTCAAGTCAACACGATTATGAGATATTTAGTAAGGATGAGAGTGGGAACCGGGAGTGAAGCTAGGGTACAAATTATCAGCGTAGAATGGCTGGAACTCAACTCTATGGCGATTACTGGCATAGAGTGGTTGGAACTCGACTTTACGGCAAGAAAGACAATGGTTCTTGGGAGCTAAAACTTAGTAAGCTAGAGAGAGGGATCGTGATTTTCTCTATCATGAGAGAGCTAACCTCTGTTTATATAGTGAACCAAGAAAGCTTGAATCCTTGTAGAACTAGGTGTTCTTACAAATTGGAGTTTGAGTAAACAAGAAACTCATAGTGCTAATCAATGTAGGAGACGAGGAGTCTTGGATGAGCTAGGATAAGTATGGGACTTAAAGTCTTATTGTGTGATGAGTGTAGACTGATGGGCTGAAGCCTAAGGTAACTTATCCTGTAGAAAGGCCTAACTCATGGAGTGGCCCAAAATGTAGGTTGGCCCAATTCGTAGGGTGACACTAACGTGGAATGATCCAACTCGTAGAGTAGCCCAACTCATGGAGTTGGCTGACTCGTGGTGTGGACCAGCTTGTAGAATGGGCCGGCCTATAGAGTGGTCCTTCTTATAGAATGGGTCATTTTGTTGGATGGTCTTTCATAGGATGAGTTTTGAGATGAACCCAATTGAAGTTGGGCTATGGCACTAAGCCTTAAGCTTTTGGGCCACCGGATTTGGATTGTGGCATGAAGCCATCTACTATTGGGCCAACCAGAGTTGGGCCTTGGCGTAGAACCTTTTGTTATTTGGCCAGCTAAAGTTGGGCCTTGGCGTAGAGTCTTTTGCTATTGGGCTAGTTGGCAGCCCAATACAATTTTTTGCATCAATAGTTTGTCCCCAACTCTCTAAGTTAAAAGGCTCTTAGATTAGAAAGTAGTTCAAGTTGAATGCAGATGTCGAGTGAGTGAAGTGGTGCCCTTAAGAGGGTCGTGACTAATCTCTTTCATGCTTAGTGAAGAGAGGATGCTTGGTTGATGTTGTAACTGATGAGCATGAGTGACAAGATCAAAGTAGGGTCGACTTGACGTGTTATGTCGAGTCGACTTGTGTCAGCTTGTAACGTAGAGCCAGACTTTGATGTAGTGTCGGATCGTTCTGCCTTGGTGTAGGGCCAAGTTGCTTTGACATGATGTAGAGTCAAGGTGTTCTTGATTGACTTGGCATCATCAACATAGAGCCAACTAGGATAAGGGATGGACAGGTTTGTGCCAGTTTCAGCTGGTCCCCCATTGTACAATCGTAAGGCTCTAACTTAGGAGTAAAGTCGAGTGGAACTTGGTCGACTAGACATGGAATTGAGTCACACTTGGTCAACTCGGCATGGAGTCTTATAGCACTTGGTAGACTCGTCATGGTATTGAGTATCACTTGGTTGACTCTACATTGATTCTTGTTGCACTTGGTCGACTCCGCGTAGAGTCGAGTCAAACTTGGTTGACTCGGCATAGATTCGTGTAGAACTTGGCCGACTTGACATGGAGTTGAGTAGCACCTTATCAACTGGAAGAGTAGAGGCGTGGTTGATTGGAAAAATGGAGGCAAAGTCACCTGGATGAGTAGAGGCGAAGCCAACTGGATAAGTAAAGGTGGAGTTGATTGGATGAGTGGACACCGAGCTGACTAGATGAGTGAGGTGAAGCCAACTGGATGACTGAGGCTGAGTCGACTAGGTGAGTAAGGCCAAGCCAACTGGATGAGTGGTAGCTGAGCTGCAAAGAGTCAAGTGACTCTTCTGAATAGAAGACTTCAACGAGTGGACATCTTAAGGATGAGTCAAGCTGAGTTGCGAAGAGTCGAGTGACTCCTCTAAAGGGGAGACTTCACGAGTAGACGTTTTGGGGATGAGCTAGGCCAAGTGGCGAAGAGTCGAGTGACTCATCTGAAGGAGAATTCAACGAGTGGGTGTCTTAGGGGTGAACCGAGCTGAGTCTCAAATAAAGGAGTGATTCCTCTGAAGGAGACATCAACGAGTGGAAGACTTGGGGATGAGCCAAGTGGCAAAAAGTCAAGTGACCTTTCTGAAGAGACTTCAACGAGCGGATGGCTTGAGGACAAGCCAAGTGGGGATGAGCCAAGTAAAGCTAGGGAGGTTGAGCCGACCGAGATGTGAGAGCATAGTCAATTGGAACTGCAAAGGCTGAGTCAATTGGAGGTGAAAGAGCAAAGTCGACTAGAACTATAAGGACAGAGTCGACTGGAGCTGAGAGAGTATAGTTGATTGGAACTACAAAGGCTAAATCGATTGGAGTTGAGAGAGCAGAGTTGACTAGAAGTCTAGAACTAGAGGTGATCGATTCCAAGTACCTTGCATTTTTTTAAGGAACCCGAACCAGCTAGTTCCTCAGATTTGGAATCAAAATCGAAACCGGAATTAGAACCGGTCGCTTTCAGTTCTGGTTCCTAGAAATCTAGAACCAAAACTTGAAACATAGGTTTCGTTCTAGTCCCAGATATTCTTGTGAATTTAATTACCCCTCTACTTTTTTAAAAATGACAAATACACCCCTAATAGTTTACAAAAATTACAATTTAATCTTGTTCCTACCCGGGTATCCGAACCTCGATTTCGGTTTTGGTTCCGATTCCAGCACTATAGGAACCGAACTGGACCCGGACCCTAGAATTCTCGGTTCCAATTTTCTTGAATCAGAACCGAACCTAATAGGGTCGATTCTGGTTCTGGTTTTGGTTTTGGTTTTGGTTTTACCCTTTACCCATGCTCACCCCTAACTAGAACTACGGAGGCGGAGTAGACTATGACTATGAGAGAAAAGTCAACTAAAGCTATGGAGACGGTTTAAGGGGGCTTCAGTTTTTCCAATTATGACTCGAGTAGTATGTGCAAAGTAGGTTGTTGCTAACCAGATGATTGTCAAGGCCCCATGGTGGGCGCCAAAGTATAGATGATAAAACTATGGACGAATTTAATGAATGACGAGTGGGGACCACAGCCCCCACTCAATTTTTTAAGAATTTCAGATTTTATATTTATTTAAATTTTGCCCCTATAAAACTTAAAGATTTTAAGAACAGAACGACTCGGCCTCCATGGTAAGTTTGGATTTTGTTTTTGTAAAACCCTGTTTTTAATCCTAATATATTTATTACATATTCTTTGTGATTTTCATTTTTATGTATGAGGATCTATTAGTTTTTAAAAGTTTTATTGAGAGTGAAAATGAAAGGAATAAGAGCTGTTGGGTTTGCATGTATCCGAGGGGAGAAATCTGGGCATTTTATAATAGAAAGCTGATGTGGCAGGGTCATGGTGAAAATAAGAGAAATTTGGGGCAGTTTATAATTCCAAGAAGTTGTTTTATATATAAATTAGGCTGTTCGCCCAAAATGAAGACGAAGAGAGAAAAACTCATAAAGAAGAAAGGAAGAAGAAAGGAAGAAGAAGCAAAGGAAAAGGAAAAAGAGAAGAGAGGGAAGAATGGCTTTGTCCGAGAGGTTGAGTGATAGAGGAGGAGTGAGAGTGAAAGTGAAGCAAAAGTGGAGGAGAAATTTTGAAACAGGTAACTCATATTTGATTTCGAGTAACACATGCAGGGGGTTTAATTAGTGAATTTCTTCATCTTTTCTTTAATTTAACTATTTAAGTGTTGGTTTGTGATTTTTTGTTGTCCTTTTGGTGTTAGGTGTCGAAGAAAAAAGTGCTTGAGGCTTCCATTTTCAATATTCTTATATCTTTCTAGTATTATGTATGTAAATCACTATGGGTTATTATTCTTGTATAATTTCTTATTGTTTTATTTGTTTAAAACTTCTTATTATGCAATATGGATAAATTTCTCAAAAGAAAATCAGTAATAAGACCAATCATCCTCACCAGTCCAAGAAAATAAAACCAATGATAAAGAAAATGATCCATTAAAGGAAAGTCATATAGAACTAGAAGCCATCTTGAAAGATCTTCCGTCTGATCTAGCTTTATGACCTAAAATCAATCTTTATCATCCTAATTATAGGGATGCAATTCGAAGATTTTACTTACAAAAGAGTTGCTGCTAACCTCGAAATCATGCATTTCCACTAACAAAATTTGAAAAAGGATATCGTCAATTTAATCTTGCTTGGTTTGGTATGTATGGCAATTGGCTTGAGTGTAGTGTGACCAAAGATGTTGCGTTCTGCTTGTATTGTTATCTTTTTAGACCTGCCATTATAAGCTAAGTCGGTAGTGACGCTTTCGTCGATTGGGGATTTCATAATTGGAAGAAACTTGAATGCTTTGAAATTCATGTTGGCCAGCCAAATAGTGCCCATAACCAAGCATGACAGAATTGTGTGAATTTAATGAATTAAAAGCAACATATTGAAGTGGCTCTCTTTAAGCAATCAGATCAAGTTAGGACTTAATATCGAACTCGTTTGACTACATCCATTGTTTGCATTAGATTTCTTTCGCGTCAAGGGTTTGCATTTCGTGGTTATGATGAAACTGAAGACTCAAAGAACCAAGGTAACTTTCTCGAACTTCTTCATTTGCTAGCTCAGCACAATGAACATTCTAAGAGTGTTGTTTTGAATAATGCACCTGGGAATCTTAAATTGATAGCACCAGTGATTCAAAAAGATATTATGAATGCTACAGCAAATGAAACCACAAAGGCTATCATTAATGATCTTGGAGATGACATCTTTTCAGTTTTGATTGATGAGTCTCGTGATGTGTCAATTAAAGAACAAATGACTATTGTCATATGTTATGTAGATAAAAAGGGTCATGTGCTTGAGCAGTTTCTTGGCATTGTACATGTTAGTGATACAACTACAGTGTCACTTAAGATGGCTCTTAAGTCATTATTTTCTAGGCATGGATTGAGTTTGTCAAGATTACGTGGACAAGGTTATGATAGGGCAAGTAATATGCAAAGAGAATTTAATAGTCTGAAAAGTTTAATTTTGAGGGAGAATGAATATGCTTATTATGTTCACTGTTTTGCTCACCAACTTCAATTGACACTAGTAGCCGTTGAAAAAAATCACATTTTTATTGCTTCATTTTTCAGCTTGGTTACTAATTTGATAAATGTTGTTGGAGATTCATGCAAGCGCCAAGACATGCTTTGGGAGAGCCAAGTTAGTAAACTTGTTGAAGCACTAGAAATTGGTAAAGTTAGCAAGGGACGAGGTTTGAATCAAGAGACAAGTCTAAAAAAAGCTGGCGATACATGTTGGGGCTCGTATTATTATGCACTAATCAACTTAATCCTTTTGTTCTCCTCTGTGGGTGATGTGCTTAAGGTTATTGAAGAAGATGGTTTAAATCCTAAACCAAGGGGTGAAGCATGTAATCTATTAGATTTAATCTATTCCTCTTATTTGCAGTTAGCTTGCATATGATGAAAAGTATATTGGCAATTACCAATGAATTGTCACAAGCATTGTAGAGAAAAGATGAAGACATTGTAAATACTATGGCCCTAGTCAAAGTTTCCAAACAACAATTATAATTGTTGAGAGATGAAGGATGGGAATCTTTGTTGAGTGAAATTTCTTCATTTTGCCAAAAGCATGATATTGCCATTTTGAATATGGATGATATGTTTGCAATTCGTGGGCAGCCACGACAGAGAGTTGAGCACATGAAAAAATTGCATCACTATCGAGTTGAATTGTTTTATACAATGATAGATATGCAACTTCAAAAACTTAACACTCGTTTCGCTAAGGCTAGTATTGAGCCGTTTCTTTGTATGACATGTTTAGATCCAAGTAATTCATTCTCTGCTTTTGACAAGCATAAGTTGATCCGTTTTGCCCAGTTTTATCCACTTGATTTTTCTTCACTTGAGTTGATGATACTTGAGAACCAGGCTGAGACTTATGTTATTGACATGCATTCTTGTGATGAATTTGTTGAGTTACAAGGAATTGGTGATTTGGCTAGGAATTTAGTTCAGTTTAAGAAAGATGTTTTGTATCCGTTTGTGTATAAGCTTGTGAAACTTGCATTGATTTTATCAGTTGTGACTGCGACCATTGAAAGGGTTTTTTCTGCAATGAATCTTGTGAAAAATCGGATTCGCCACTGGATAAAACCTACTCGAAATGTCATAAGAATGATCTTGTGAGGTTGAGGCCACTGACAATCTCATAGACCTGCAAAGACAAAGAAGAGTGAATGCAATACACTTGGGGATACCGGTGTGGTATCAGTCATAGCCACTCCGACGCTCAAGTCAGCACGATTGTGGGATATTTAGTAAGGTTGAGAGCGAGAAAGAGTTTACCATGAGTGAAGCTAGGTTTACCGAGAGTGGAGCTAGGGTGCGACTTATCAGCGTAGAATGGCCGGAACTCAGCTCTATAACAATTATCGACGTAGAGTGGTCAAAAATCGACTCTACGATGGTTCTTGGGAACAAAATCTTAGTAAACAAGAGAGAGGGGTTGTGATTTTCTCTATAATGAGATAGTTGACCTCTATTTATATAGTGAGCTAAGAAAGCTTGAGTCCTTGTAGAACTAGGTGTTCTCACAATAGGAGTTTGAGTAAACAGGAAACTCATAATGCTAATCCAAATAGGAGTAGGAGTACTAGTTCATGTAAGACCAAGAGTCTTGGATGAACTAAGATATGTATAGGACTTAGAGTACTATTCTGGGATGAGTGTAGACTAATGGGCTGAAGCCTAAGGTAACTTATCTTGTAGAAAGGACCAACTCGTGGAATGGCCCAAAATGTAGGTTGGCCTAATTCGTAGGGGGACCTTGATTGTAGAGTGATCCCAACTCATAAAGTAGCCCAACTCATGAAGCAAGTTGACTCATGGTATGGACCAACTCATAGAATGGGCTGGCCCATAGAGCGATCCTTCTTACAGAATAGGCCATTTTGTCGGATGGTCCTCTCACATGATGGATTTTAAGATGGACCCAAACGAAGTTGGGTTGTGACACTAAGCCTTAAGCTTTCAGGCCAACCGAAGTTGGGCTTTTGGCATGAGCCCTACCAAAGTTAGGTCATGGCATGAAGGCATCTACTATTGGGCCAACTAGAGTTGGGTCTTAGCGTAGAGCCTTTTGTTATTGGGCCAACCGAACTTGGGCCTTGGTGCACAGCCTTTTGCTATTAGGCCAGTCAGGAGCCTAATACGGATTTTTGCATCAATAAGGGGTTTCACCACCATTTCAAATCTTCTCTCGATTAGCCAAATTGTGCTCAATAAAGTCTATTGGGCGAAATTTGGAATCCGTTTCGCGACTTCCCATCACTCCCATTTATTTGTTTCTGCGAACAAAACAATAAAATCACTTCTTCACAAATTTTCAGTTTATGATGAGTCTTCGGGATTATGACTAATTAAAGAAACAAATTGATATTGTCATAATTATGTAGATAAAAAGCATGTGCTTGAGCAGTTTCTTGGCATTGTACATTGTCTATGATACAACTACAAGTGTCACGTAAGATGGCTCTTAAGTCATTATTTCTAGAGAGCATAGTCAATTGGAACTGTGAAGGCTGAGTCGATTAAAGGTGAAAGAGCAAAGTCGACTAGAACTATAGAGACAGAGTTGATTGGAGCTACAAAGGCTAAATCGATTAGAGTTGAAAGAGCAGAATTGACTAGAAGTCTAGAACTAGAGGTGATCGGTTATAGGTACCTTGCATTTTTTTAAGGAACACGAACCAGCCAGTTCCTCAGATTTGGAATCAGAATCGGAACCGGAATTGGAACTGGTCGCTTTCGGTTCTGGTTCCTAGAAATCTAGAACCGGAACTTGAAACATAGGTTTCGTTCTAGTCTCGAGTACTCAAGTGAATTTCAATTACCTCTCTACTTTTTTTTAAAAATGACAAATACACCCCCAATAGTTTACAAAAATTACAATTTAATCTTGTTCCTACCTGGGTATTTGAACCTCGATTTCAGTTTTGGTTCTAATTCCAACACTATAGGAATCGAAACCAGACCCTAGAATTCTCAGTTCCAATTTCCTGAATCGGAACCGAACCTAATGGGGTCGATTCTGGTTTTGGTTTTGGTTTTACCCTTTACCCATGCTCACCCCTAACTAGAACTACGGAGGCAGAGTAGACTGTGACTATGAGAGAAATGTTGACTAAAGTTATGGAGACGGTTTAAAGGGGCTTCAATGTTTCTAGTTATGGCTCAAGTAGTATGTGCAAAGTAGGTTGTTGCTAACCAGATGATTGTCAAGGCCCCATGGTGGGCGCCAAATTATAGATAATAAAACTATGGACGAATTTAATGAATGACAAGTGGGGACCATGGCCCCCACTCAATTTTTTAAGAATTTCAGATTTTATATTTATATTTATATTTATTTAAAATTTTCCCCTATAAAACTTTGAGATTTTGAGAACAGAATAGCTCGACCCCCATGGTAAGTTTGGATTTTGTTTTTGTAAAACCCCGTTTTTAATCCTAATATATTTATTACATATTCTTTGTGATTTTCATTTTTATGCAAAGGGATCTATTAGTTTTTAAAAGTTCTATTGAGAGTGAAATGAAAGGAATAAGAGCAGTTGGGTTTGTATGTATCTGAGGGGAGAAATCTGGGCATTTTTACAATAGAAAGCTGATGTGGCAGGGTCATGGTGAAAATAAGAGAATTTTGGGGCAGTTTATAATTCCAAGAAGTTGTTTTATATATAAATTAGGATGTTCGCCCAAAATGAAGACGAAGAGAGAAAAACCCATAAAGAAGAAAGGAAGAAAAAGCAAAGGAAAAGGAAAAAGAGAAGAGAGGGAAGAATGGGTTTGGCCGAGAGGTAGAGTGATAGAGGAGGAGTGAGAGCGAAAGTGAAGCAAAAGTGGAGGAGAAATTTTGAAACAGGTAACTCCCATTTGATTTCGAGTAACACATGCAGGGGGTTTAATTAGTGAATTTCTTCATCTTTTCTTTAATTTAACTATTTAAGTGTTAGTTTGTTGATTTTTTGTTATCCTTTGGTGTTAGGTGTCAAAGAAAAGAGTGCTTGAGGCTTCCATTTTCAATATTCTTATTGTCTTTCCATTACTATGTATGTAAATCACGATGGGTTATTATTCTTGTATAATTTCTTATTGTTTTATTTGTTTAAAACTTCTTATTAGGTATGCAATATGGATAAATTTCTCAAAACAAAATCAGTAATAGACCAATCATCCTCATCAGTCCGAGAAAATAAAGTCAATGATAAAGAAAATGATCCATCAAAGGAAAGTCATGTAGAACTAGAAGCCATCTTAAAAGATCTTCAGTCTGATATAGCTTTATGGCCTAAATCAATCATTATCATCCTAATTATAGGGATGCAATTCGAAGATTTTACTTACAAAAGAGTTGTTGCCAACCTCGAAATCATGCATTTCCACTAACAAAATTTGGAAAAAGATATTGTCAATTTAATCTTGCTTGGTTTGGTGTGCATGGCAATTGGCTTGAGTGTAGTGTGACCAAAGATCTTGCATTCTACTTGTATTGTTATCTTTTTAGACCTGCCATTATAAGCTAAGTTGGTAGTGACGCTTTCGTCGATGGGGGATTTCGTAATTAGAAGGAACTTGAACGCTTTGAAATTCATGTTGGCCAACCAAATAGTGCCCATAACCAAGCATAACAGAGTTGTGTGAATTTAATGAATCAAAAGCAACATATCGAAGTGGCTCTCTCTAAGCAATCATATCAAGTTAGGACTAAATATCGAACTCGTTTGACTACATCTATTGTTTGCATTAGATTTCTTTCGCGTCAAGGGTTGGCATTTCTTGGTTATGATGAAATTGAAGACTCAAAGAACCAAGGTAACTTTCTCGGACTTCTTCATTTTCTAGCTCAGCACAATGAACATTTAGTGTTGTTTTGAAGAATGCACCTAGGAATCTTAAATTGATAGCACCAGTGATTCAAAAAGATATTATGAATGCTACAACAAATGAAACCACAAAGGCTATCATTAATGATCTTGGAGATGACATCTTTTCAGTTTTGATTGATGAGTCTCATGATGTGTCAATTAAAGAACAAATGGCTATTGCCATACGTTATGTAGATAAAAAGGGTCATGTGATTGAGTGGTTTCTTGGCATTGTACATGTTAGTGACACAACTACAGTATCACTTAAGATGGCTCTTAAGTCATTATTTTCTAAGCATGGATTGAGTTTGTCAAGATTACGTGGACAAGGTTATGACGGGGCAAGTAATATGTAAAGAGAATTTAATAGTCTGAAAAGTTTAATTTTGAGGGAGAATGAATATGCTTATTATGTTCATTGTTTTGCTCACCAACTTCAATTGACACTAGTAGCCATTGAAAAAAATCACATTTTTATTGCTTCGTTTTTCAGCTTGGTTACTAATTTGATAAATGTTGTTGGAGATTCATGCAAGCGTCAAGACATGGTTTGGGAGAGCCAAGTTAGCAAACTTG